GCTGTCATCTTCTATTTCAGTTTTCCTCTGTCGCCTCATATGATACACACAAGATGAACGCATGGATTTAAAATTAATTAGTATTTAAATAAAGCAGACTACTCATTCATAGACAAAACGTAACTATTAGGCACAGGCTTCGAAACAATTAAAAAGAGGGAAAAAGAAATTCCTGAATTTATTTTCTAGCATAGAAGAATCCGCAGCGCTATTCCAATGCGTGTTGCAGAACTTCACTTGTTCTCGAAGTATTTTTAAAATTCCGGACCTTCAGCTTTCCTCACTATATTTTTCGTCACTGCTGAATGCGTGATTGTCAAGCAGGTAGACAACCGCAGTTTTTTTTGTTTTTATTAGAAATAGCCTCCTGCCCATCCCGTTTCAGTATCGCTCTATCGCCTTCTACAACACCCAAAGAATAATATGGGCACAATCATCTATAACGTATATAATTCGTCGTCGTCACAAATATTAATAGTACACTACGTTACGCGGTAATTAAAGTTAAAGGTACATTAAACAATGAGAGGCGTGAACCCACTATAGAATCACCAAGAGCTTGTTCGTTACAAAAACGGTACGTTTTTGTCTATGTGCCGTGCCTATTGAATGAGAACATTGATATGTAATATTTGAAAAGTGGGGAGACATCCTGCTAATTGCTCTGTTTGGCGTAAGACTTTGTAATAATTGCGAAATTCTTCTATTTCCGTTAAATCAAGGCCACGATGTCACGGGGAAACGGAGGGGGCAGCCAGGTGCTGACTTGATTTTTAATTAAAAGCCTTAGCGGCATAATTTCTATGCTTGTATAACTGTTGTTAGCGATTTTTGTACACATTACGTTATTACATCATAGTTCTCGCATTATTCCCTAATAAGAGGCGACAAAGGGATACTGAAACAGGAATGAGCGACAAAATGTTCCTGATAACAACCAAAAATAATGGAAATAATAATAAAAACTGCGGCTGCTAACGCGCGTGGCAGTTATAGTAAAATGCCCCCCATGATCCAATCTATGGAGGCAGCTATAGTAAATCCCCCCTATGAAACTATCTATGGGGGAGGCCTTTGTTCGGCACAGGACTTTTGATATGTTGAAATGAATGGTCGAAGGAACGGCGGAAGGCACATATCCAGTGTAGTTTTTTTTGGGCAGATGAGAGAAACCCAAATAATTTATTAAAGGAAATTTAATCAGTTACGATTCACATATAAAATGAAAATGACGCGTATTATCTATCTAGAGCAAGAACTCGATCATTGTTCGAAGCCTGTATTTTTCTTTGTTTCTTTTTCTTTTATATACAAGTAATGCCTCGTTCCGAAACGAAAAAAATCCTCCATAAGAATTTCATGGCATTGCAATCGGTAGGAGATGATACGAATTAGTAGAGCCTAGCAACTCATAATTACTAAACTGTAGGTTTAGTGTGTTTGAGTTTACGTTTACCTCGTACTTACGGCAAAATTCTTATTGCAGTTGCCAATTGCCCGGAATATAGAGTATATCGCGTGCAATTGGCAACTGTAGATGACTAATTATTGTACGTGAAAAGTGTATGAATATCGTGTAATCGTAACTCATTACCTAATCTATGATTATTTGAGGTTATAATAAAACCAGTAACATCTTCAACTGATGGTTTTATAAAGCAAACAAGTGTCGATTGCTCTTTCATTATATTTTTGCTATTATAATAATGCCGTCAATATCATATTCTATCAGTTATGTTAGTGAATAAATGTTAAATTTTATAAGTTTAATAATTTTTAGGCGAGTAACACGATGGCTTGCTTGAATTTCTTTTTGTATTTTAATTTTATCGACTGCGACTTAGTTTAAATTGATTCCACTATATGATAATATAACCTCTATAATTTATTTTAGTCTTAAGTGAAGTTTGAATCGTAACTCTAAATATGACATTTAATGATGAGTTTAGAGAACCGGAGAACCTTTTTACTGGAAACGAGGCATTCCATCTTAGTCTTTAGGGATGACAACTGCTGCATTTTGCTTATTAATTAGGGACATATGTAGATGTCTAAGGTCTTTAGGTGGACTGTGTGCTCGTTTGTCATCTTATACTATAAAAACCGGTTATTTTTATGAGATGTAAGAGAGAATATGTCATCATTTTTCCTCAAATGCTGACTTCATCATCACGTATTTTTGATGAACAGACGAGTCTCTGAATGGAATTGATTGATGAAGTAACTGCCTGAATAACGTCGGGAAAACCAAAAGCACAGAGCTAATATCTTGCGTAGTAGTGTAAAGAAGCAACATTATCAATGAGAAAGTCTCAGTTATGCTCGCACCAGCTACTTAGCCAACGTGGTTAGTTTGGTGCAGTCTTCCAAGTAATGCTTGCCAGCTCTCTTTTCTGCCTAAGAACTCCAATTCTGCCTCAATTTCCATCTGAATAGGTACAGTCCTGTTATCTATTTCTGTCGTCAAATAGTAATGCTTGCACTCTAGTGTTCCAGTTTAGGCAAGGCATCGAGCGCTACTATATTTATGTACATGTTGTCAGACATTTCAGCTTTGTCTTTTGTGGTGACGAAGCTCTGTAGTTGTCTTTGTTTCAAGTTGGTTGCAGATGTCTATGGGCTGCAGCACCTACTTACCATCTGGTGGACTGTATGTTCGTCATTTCACTTTTATAAAAAAACTGAAAATAACTACCTACCAGTTACCAATGAATAATTTTTGTGTATTATGATGCCCAGATATATATTTTTATACGTGGTAGAGTCATGCTGCAGTTATATTAGTAGTGTAGTTGTAGCACGAATGGGTCGGCTCGACCGTGGGAAGGACCACGCTCTCACAGAATACCAGCGTAAAATAGTAGCTTAATGCTGTATTTCGTATGGTAAGTGTAGAGAACCGGAGACGCTTTTTACTGGATACGAGGCATTCCACCTTAGTCCTCACGGGTGACAACGCATCTGCATTTTGATTCGTAACCGAGGATAGATGTAGATGTCTATGGGCCAGAGCAACCACTTATAATCAGGTGGACTGTGTACTCGTTTGTCATACTATCTTGTAAAAAAATAATGTATACATGTGTAAAATAAAATCTTATTTTTTTAAGGACCGATTTTTCAATCATCAGATGAATGTTATTCATATGATGAAATACTACCCGAACAAATTCAAAATTACAGTTGTATCAATATAATAGTTCATTCAGTTGTTTCACATTTTTACTTTCAGCCAGGTTATCATAATTTATTTCATAGATAAATTATATAGGACGATTGAAAAATCGGTCTTAAGTAACATAAACATAATTATATGTTCGATAATGTATCAAATTATTACAACCTTGACAGCAAATATAAATGCTACCCATCAGTCTATTATAGCTGAATTATTTATGTTAATTTACCATTAATTCGTTTTTTAATATTGACACGTCCTCATTAATTGCGTCATAAAGTATTACATAATTATTTTATTGCAAATGTTATAAAAAATTAACTTAACCATTGACCTTAACGAAACTACGTTTATATAACGAGTGACTTTTGTCTTATTCAACACTAACGGTGACTTAGTAATCGTTTTTATAACTTACCAGCGATCCTTCCCAGCATTGTGCGGGTGAGATCTCGACAACACTGACACCTATCGGGTACAACTACAGTTAAGAATCATTAAGGCGAAGAAGAAGATTTATTGCAGTTTTTAACCCTTATAGGTCAGTGCTTCACTAATGTCCTATCTCTACCCTATTTAATTTTAAAGGAGTGATGTTGCTGATAGTGGTAAAGCGCTCTGAATAGTCTAGAAAGCTAAGCTATATCTATAAAACTCGAGAGTTCTGGCGCTGCGCTTACCTATCAACCCACTTGCCCAACGTGTAGCCAAATCTTTCAAGTAATGTCTGTTTGCTAACGCTTTCTTAGAAAGGCCTATATTCAGCCGTGTGCTTAAAGGCTAGTAATAATTTGTTTTAATGTTTTAATGTACACATAAGCTTAATATATATAAATCACATGTCACGTTGTTTGTCCGCGATGGACTCCTAAACTACTTAACTGATTTTAATCAAATTTGCACACCGTGTGCAGTTTGGTCCAACTTGAGAGATAGGATAGTTTTTTTCGCCCATGAGTGAGCCAAAAATTTTTTTTAGCTAATTTAAGAATTTTTAATAGAACATGATAAACGGTCGTCGAAAAGGGCAGAACAACGTCTGCCTGGCTAGCTAGTAGTATATATAATATCATAGGTATATAATTATATTTAGTTGTTTAATGAGCAATATATTATGAGGCCTATGTTCAGTAGTGGACTTGTGAAGGGATGTGATGATGATGATGATGATGATATTATGTATTTGTGTACACTTTGAAAATAATATCTATGTAATTCGAAAATTTAAATAAAACTATTCATATATGAATAAGTTTTAACTTATTTGACAAGTTGTTCGAACTAAGTGGACAAGTGAGTTCGAAATGTTACTCTCAAATAAACAACAATCGGTGTTCCACGAGGTTTCTAAGTTTACATCTAAGCTACGCCCCGCCCGGCTCTGTGTAACAGCCAATGGCGCCGGTGGGCGGGGCGCGCTTTAAGGAAATCTAAGCTCCAACAATCTTCCAATCTCTAATGAACGTAAAAAATATTTAAATATAACCAATTACAAAACATTTTGTAGTCGTTGTGACATAAATTAACAAAATCACCCATACATATTTTCGAGGGAAAAACAGTGATGCGTATCGAGCCTGTTTAATTCGACACATTAAGAAACCCCACATTTGTGAGCATTAATCCTCGTAAAACATTTCTCAGCTCATCCTCTTCGTCTGATGCGAATACTTATTAACCAACAATTAGCCGGTGCACGGCTGGTCGCGCTGGGAGCCACCTGTCAAGTGGTCGTTTCATCAAATCATTTCTTTATTGCGCAGCCTCCGTTTGACTTGCTCTTTTTTGTCAGACTTTTCAAAAAAAAAGAACGTTATTGTGGATGAGTCGGGTAGGTCGGGGCGCGCGAGCCTCGTTTCAGTCAGGTGCCAGGCGCCGAACACGTAACACCGTGCCGGTACGCTAACCGACCCCATACAGCCTTCGTTAAGTCTACTACGTCGCGTCACGTAGCTTTTCGAAATTCGTTTTCAAAAGGCAACAAAAAATGTAAATACTTTACGCGATCGGAGTTAATTTTAAGGAAAATTAATTTACTCAACCCTTAAGTGAAGATCGTTAGTGGTTCAGTGTATCTTAAGTGCTGAGATTTACCATTTAAGGTAAGTCGCATATTAAAAGATATTTAGCAAATACATAAAAAATAGAATATACATTTACACCACAAACAATTTTGAATAAATAAATTTTAAAAAATAAATAAACAATTTTTACTACACAAGAATATTTATATTACTTATATGTATATTAAGTAGTGTAAAAAAATTATTATTTGATATTTTAAAAATAAATTATTTTTTTGTAGTAGTAGTATGTCTCTTTGCAGATATTTTCAGTGATTTGAATCAATTCGTCAATGTGTTGTAAATTTTTAAATAGGTATTATAAAGTTAGTTAAAATATTTATCTCTAGAATCGTCTCCCGTCCAGTGGTCTTTATTTGACAACCTTCCGAGTCCCGACCTCCTCTAAAATGAATTCAGTTAAAATTTATATTCCTCTTAATTGAATTTCCTCTAAATAAACATAATGTAGGTATATTCAATCATACGTGAATTAATTTATCCTCCTTATCCAAAATACAAGTTTTTCCTTACCAACACTTAAATTAAAACTATATAATAATTACAAATTTATTACATGGGGATTACATTGTTCAAATAGGGACCTAAAAAATAAAAAAATCCGTAAATAATAGTTTTATTCAATGTGTAGTGTTCGCTAAATTTAAGAAATCATTAACACTTAAATTAATCTGGAGCAAATTTAACCATCTTCTCCTGATTATTTCTTATGATAAAGAACCCAAATAGTTAGATGTTGTCAATTATCATACTGTATTTTATTTAAATGTTCATTCATCCAATATGACCCATAAAGATCTATTGCTTAACATAGGCCACCACCACACAGTATTCATAGGTGGGATTTTGACATAGTTGCCGTACTTGGCAAGCGGTTTGACAACCGCAGTTTTTTATTATTCTGAGATGTTCTCAAGAAGATGCTGCTGCCTAACTCATGTTTCAGGTACCCTTTTTTGCATCTTACGACACCCAAGGGACGATATGGAGTAGTGAATATTACTCCATATCTATATATAGGTTTAAAATATATATAGGTTTAAATAAAAGATATCGCAAAAGAATTTTATAGACTATATTCATAAATTTTAACTGAAATGAAAAACGCTTGCAGCTGTTGTCAACCCTGCGATTCACTTGTAATTCAGCGTGATCATTACTATAATAACTAATAATTACACGTGAATATACATAGATTTATTTCTAAGTATAGTCACTTATACATAGGTATCTATAATTATTACAACAATATTAAAGTAAGAAAATTAAAAGCTCAGGGTAAAACTAATAAAGGTAAGGTAAAGGAAAAACAGCTTCTCTGAAAAACTTCGATGAAAAATCATCTGAAGAAAGCTTTATCATTCTATCAGTATTTTGAATTTAATTCAGCTCTATTAACTCTCTTCCTTTCCTCTTCTTCTTTACCTTCATTAGCCCATCACAATCCACAGCTGGAACCTCTGCCATTTTAGAGAATTAACTAAGTTGCCACACTTGGATTGCAATCACACAGACGTTTTCAGACGTCTTGAACCTTTGACGGAGCTTCCTGTCTTTGATCTAGGTATTTTACTCCATTTATTGCACACTATCCGGCCTTTCCTATATTCACCTTCTACTACACTTGAGGGATGAACCAGGGTAATATTTGTAAGCCGCCACATACGTCTTCCGACGTTCTAATTTTTCATAGCAGAGCAAAGAAGATCGATCAAGCATCTGCATTATGATTCCTAATCGACGGTGCGATCACAGCGATAAACGTCTCGAATTTTTGACGGTGCCCTGGGTCCTTGGTATGGATATTTGGCACTTACCGCAAGCTATCTAGCCTTTCCTATATTGGCCTTCTACGTTCTACGTCTTCTTGCACTTGCGGAGTGAAACGGAGTAGTAGATTTTGCACGTCTTTTTCCGACATTCTAACTTTTCATGCTCTTTAATCGACGGTGTCTATAAGAGGACCACCAGCTTTTTGTATTTTTTGTTTTTTAGGAAACAAAATAGCGCTAGCCATCGTTGCTCATCGTGATATACTTGTTTATTTTAATAACACAAGCGACGGTGTAAATATTTATTTCGCGTTATTCGTATAATATTTATTAATTCATTCCTTACAACCCTTTCATTACTGAACATAAGAAACCCCCCTCCCCCAAGAATGCCAAATGTTATTCATCTATATACACATTCAATTTCTAAACGAAACCAAACATATAATTTAAATCTTATAACGAAATTGCGATTTATAAAATGGATAATTAAAACCATGTGAATTGTTCATTTTCAAAATCAATTTTCAATTTTATACAATACATTAACAATACAAAATTTTAGAGTTTTTTAACCCCTATAATTTATTAAAATTCCTACCAATTTTTCCAAATTAATTTTTAATAATATAAAGAAAACTAATATATTTCAACAAAATATAAATTACAAAATATAAAACAAAATATAAATTTGACTCGAAATAGAACTTCACTGTGTCTAACCGATGTAACTATCATAGGAAAAACCAGGAAATTAAGCCTCAAATAAATGGCAGTATATACCAGAAGTAAGCAGGCGACGCGACGGTGGATGGTGTCAAAGGTGCAAGACGTCTGTATTGCTATTGGCAAACTCTTTCTACTATAAGTAGGACCAATGTCTAGCCAAGGAGTGATACGGGCTGATATATAACTTACTAAACAGACAGAATTTCGATCACAGCGGTCAGTCTTAACCTAGAGTAGCAACAGCACGGGACTCTGACACGATCGGGGAGATACCAGGCGTAGGACCAATAGTTTCACGTGCTTACCCAGGCTAAGAAGTGAAATACCGCTGATTTCTTAACTCTGGGTTGCTACTGAAAATTTCTTGACAGAAAACCCAATAACTGATTCTGACATGACCCAGAATTCGAACCCAGGACCACATGGTCAGTAGTCGCGCTTACAACCACTATACCAAACTAGGATCTCAAGTAGAGCATATGATCATGTTTTGATGCCATAATTTTGCGTATAACACTCGATATGATCGGAGGTAAAGTCGAGTGCAGTGTTTGAAGGAATGGTAGATAGGTACTGCCAAAAAAGAAAATCAAAACAGTTGTTAACTCTAGCTCGGATCCGATCCAAGATATGCGGTTCAGTACCTTGATACTTGCCGTAAGATAAAACACTAGGTCACAGGGTTGTGATTAACATAATTCATCATCATCATCATTACAACTCTTCACAAGTCAGCGACTGAATATAGGCCTCATTCCAGGAATGTCACAAAGCATAGTCCTTAGCTACCTACATCCAGCGACTTCCTGCATCTCTTACCAGGTCGTCACTCTATCTGGTGTGATTTATTTTATTATACTTACTTAATTGATTTATGTTATCGCCTAGTGTTTATTTAAAGTAAATTTTTCTATTGACCACTGGTTCGTAAAGAACCAGGAAGAATTCACTGGTAGGGTTATTTAAAAAGTTTATAATATTCCCTAATATCATTATAAAATTTTAAAAGTTAAAGTTACTGATTATATACGACCCACTTCTGGGCACAGGCCGAGTCTCATTTCTGAGAGGGTTTTAGGGCAAGGAATAGTCCGCCGCGCTGCCCCAATGCGTGTTGGCGAACTTCACATGTCTTCGAAATATTTTGTTTTCTTATTTCTCAGACATGCAGGTTTCCTCGCGACGTTTTCCTTCACTGCCGAGCACGTGGTAAATCAACATTTAAAATTGCAATTATGTAACAATTTCATTGGTGCCGGCGGCATCGAACCCGGTTTGCTCGCGTATTGTGAAATTTACAGCGAGCGCTAACCATCTGAGCTACCACAGCTCTATACAATTTTATAAGTAAGATATTTTGTAAACAAACGCCCAAATGTATGAAATAAAAATATTTAGCTTGCATTAGTAAAAAAACTATTGAAATAAAATTGCATAATGACGGTAATGAGTCGCGGTGATTGATTTCCTCAAGTCAACACTTGCGCGGGTTCCCACCAAGCGCGGAAGGAAAGAAATGGGTGGCGACCGTCGCGCGGCGGGTAATTGCGGCCGGACAACTAATAAAGACTTGCTTTATTGGAACAAGAAATAGCGACACTCAGCTCAACCCCAACGTAAGTCGACTTGTTAGCCAATTAGCCATAATAGCAGGATTGCAGTCACCTGTGTCTTGTAAATTGTTGGAAATATCTTCAACATTTGGGATTTATGTAATTTTCAAAGTTGTTCATCAAACTTATAGTTCATTTGTAAATTAGGTTTTTTTGAAAGATAACCAACATTAAATGCACAATCACTGTGTCGAATATATCCACATAACTTCCCCCGTATTGTTTCCATCACGATAATTACAAAATTTAGCAAATCATTTGTAGATTCTAATCTCCTCACGATTTAGTCGCGCGTTATTCGAAGTCGCTTTGACACCGATTACAAATTCATTCCGTAATACGTAATGTGTTTTAGACTAATGAAGGTTGTTTCACTCGGGCATATTGTGCATTATTAATGCGCGTACGCAGTGGACGACACAACATACCCACCGCTTCCATTATTCTGATTCTTCATTTGCTTGATTGAGCTTTTAATATGATTCGATGTCCAACAAACAAGTGACCGGATTAATCAGGGCTGTCAACAAAATACATATGGGGGCAATAGACGTTAATAGCAATGGTCACGTGAAACAGCACTATTTAAAATAAATATTTTTGTTGCGATTAAAAAAGAAAAAAACGTATAGTAAGAAAGAATGTATTATATTAGTTCAGTCTTTGTTTGTTAAACCAAAAAAAAAAAATTTCGAATTACGTAACATATGGCCTTATATTTTAAATTTATCATACTATCTCGAATTTCGCAAATAAGTAAAAAACAACTTATTAATTCAATTTTTAAGGCTTATATGAAATGTAGTCATATAAATTGTAATTCAAAGTTAAAAAATGCTTAATGTATTAGAAATGTAGTTTTGAAATTCTAACACTTCATTTAAGTATCGTATGAATATGAATGTTTACAAAAAACACAAGCTCTCAAAACGGTACTTGATAGCACTTATATTTGCTTTATTAAAATTCATTCAGTTCTGACGGCTCCATGGCTCAGTGGAATACATATCGAGTTCCGAGGCTGAGGGGTGCGGGCTCAAGACTCGCTCTACACTAGTAGTAATGGATGAGGATGTAAGGTTTTTTAAAGTTTACAAAGTTAGAATAAAGAGCCGTGTTACCTCATCGACTGGTCGCTCGCACACTATCGTAGTACGCGAATAACCCTCACAACGTTCCCGCTACCATTAACAATAAATTTAACCGCAACTTTTAATGCTAATTTATAAAGGAATTGTTGCAGACATTTTAAGTCCGTGAATTAGCACTGGAGCAGAGAGATAAAAGTTCTTGCTCCTTGATTTTTTCTTTTTAGACATGAAACCTAGTAGTGGGACTTGTATATTAATTTACTTACTTTCAACAAAAGTAAAAAAAATACCTCTTGCGAGGCATTGTAGCTGAAGCACGAATGGGTCTATTAACGTAAAATAGTAGCATAATGCCATCCCTATTTATATTAAACAATTAAACTCTCAAGAAATTTTTAATCAAAGCTTTAGTAAGAAGCCGACTCTTCAATGAACTATGAAGAATAAAATAATTTCCACACAATAGCTACAGAAGTAAGACGTAGATTAAAGAGTAATAATTAAAACTCAGTCAGAGTTTTAGAAGCTAATATTATGTGGGAACTATATTATTGTTATTAGTTTTTATTTTATGACGGCTTTTACAATTGATTAAAAGTATTTTGACCTCTTTGAGTGAACAAAATGATGTCACAAGCTCAAGGTAACTGGATTGTCGTCAAAATCAAAAATCTTCATCCTCTAATTACCGACGTCCCCAAATTTATATGGAATCTTTTGAAATGTGACCTTTTTATAGAACAAGAGAGATAAACGAGCACACATTCCAGTGATGATAAGTGGATGTTGTGGCCCATAGGCATCTACATATTATATCCTTGAAAAGAAATCAAAATGTAGATGGATTGTCACACCTGAGGACTAAGATAGAATGCCTCGTTTCCAGTAAAAGGGTCCTCGGTAAAAGGTACTCAACATACGTAACACAGCAGCATTGAGCTGCTATTTAAATTGATATTCTGTGAGAGCGTGGTTCTTCTCCGGTCGATTAGACCCATAAATGCTACAACCATAATTATAACTGCAGTATGGCTCTACCCCGTAAAATAACAATTGACTAAGAACAACAAAACAAAAGAATCATTAAAGTCGATTCACAATAAAAAACATGCTAAAAATACTTTAATTATACCTTACTTATAGTTTCTTACGCATTGTTAATAAGTTCTCTTTAATTTGGTTCAGGATGTCACGGCACGTTCTCCTTTCACGTTTGGCGGAGCAGTTCCAGTCCTCCTCGCCGCCACAAACACAACGTTTTCCTTCACCAAATCGCAGTCCCTCGCCTCACTCGCCGGCTTCAACACGATCACCTCCACACACCCCTGACTCCATCCCTCATCACCGGCTAGATCTTCTGCAACTTGGAGATATCGAAATTGCTGGAAGAGCGCTTAAGCAATACGCCCGAGCCACAGGTAAGAAATTACTTACTGATTATTTAAAAAAATATTTTGTAAATGTTAATCTATATAATTCATTCATGTTACACTATGCGTTACCTTCATAATTAACTATCACCGCCAGCTTCATCATTAGGTAGGTATATCTCTTCAAATTGACCAGAACTTATACATTGAAATATTGTTCATCTAACTGCTTTACAGAAACAGAAACAGAAGCTTTTTTATTCAACGTATATTATAAACAATACTTATTGAAAGTCACTTTTTTCATTTACCACTGGTTCGCAAAAAAACCTCTGTCCTGGGAAGAACCAGCAAGAAACCCTGCGGGACTATTTTTTTTTCAAATAATAGCTTACAATCATGTTTACAATTAACAATACAAATAGCTTGGTAGTGATCACCCTTCCCTAAATAATATATATTTATAATATAAATTCCTTAATATTATAATAACCCTTTTTATACAAACTTAGTTTTATAAAGTTTTTGAACTTTGCGTATGAAAAATTTTGTAATTTTCTGGGATAAAATACAAATATTACAATCATCATCACCGCCATTCTCAATATGACCAGTCCACTGTAGTCTGTCATCGGCTTAAATATTTTATACAAGACGTACTTCTGGACCATATTCATTCATTTTCAGTTGAAAATAAGCCTTCCCTATATATTGTTTCATGGTTGGTAACCGCAGTATTTTTTATTATTTTGATCAAGTATAAAAAAAATGCAACTATCTATTGCCTGTTTCGTTTTGCTCTGTCGCCTTTTACAACACCCTCGGGATCATCATATAAAGTACGCGGAAGACACAGAAATGAGCTTTCTACAGATAAAATTTCTTCAAGTTTTCGATGCTTGTTGTCATTCTCTTCAGAGCACTATAACAAACAAAATAAAAAAGTGTATGCTCACAGCTCCAAAATAGCTTGCAACTTGTTGAAAAGATTCAACGTGGTCATTACCCGACTTAGTCCGACAAAGAAAGACGACGGAACATTCTTTCAAGGGTTCTCTTACGCCGCTAGAGAGGTGACTCTTTTAGATGCCTCAATACATTTCTGACATCTCTCTTATTTGACTTCCAACATCATCTGAATAAGATAGAGTGATGGATTATTTCACGCCATCACCGAGTGGTAAAATATATAAATTTTAATGATTACGTATATTTAACAAGTTGTTCTAATAAATCTGTAACCAAAGTCTATTTGTGATTGTTTAGAACTAGGAGCACTGATGTACTGCAGTGGATTGGGTGCATTGTATGGAGGTGCGGGCGTATGGCCGTTGCTGATGCCAAGAGCTTCCCGACAATACGCGTTGCCACCGCTAGACCACATGAGACATACTCCGCCTAGAGATGGTAATTTTATTTTCATTTAACTTACCAATAAATTCCTACAAATAGTGTAAAATAATTTTTTTTCTATTTGTGATTTTTTTATCAAAAGTAGATATTATACACTCGCATGCGAAAAAAACGTAAAAAAAAAAAAAAAAAGTTTGAAGTCCTTTATTATTTTTTTTTATTGTAAAATTACTAGCGATGTTATTAACATGTTTACTAACTCCCGGTAACTACTCTTCACGACAGTATCTTGGTAAACAATGGATTCGAATGACGTTTTTGTTTCTCAGTCTATCCTGTTAAATATGTGGCTACTGTTTTTAAAAAAAATATCCCAGATTTTTTTAAAAAAACCAGAACGGTAGCAAACAAGCACTAAGGGAATTAAGGACTAAGATAGAATGCCTCATTACTAGTAAAAAGTGTATCCGGTTTTCTACACTCTCCATACAAAACCCGTATTATGCTGCTATTTTAAGCTGGTATTCTATAGAGACCGTGGTTCTTCCCCGCTCGAGCTGGCTCATAAGTGCTGCAACCTTAATATAGCTGTTGCGTGACTCTACCACACTAAAATTTATTATTAGATAAAATAATTTATGTTTACAATGTGAAATACTTTGCTATTTAGACTGTAAGCACACCACGACGAGCAAGCAAGCACGAAAGACAAATTGAACAAAGTATTACATTGTGTAAAAATAATTAAAACTCTCTTCTTCTTCACCAGACCGTTAATATCCTCTATAGTCCTCCTCTGTTATAGGGAGTTTTTGCTTAATATTGCCGCTCCCTCATAATACGTCTTACGTACTTGCCGTGTAGTGGCGGTGTAAGAATATCCACTACATCATATCACCCCGTGGCTGTGGTAAGAGGCGACAGAGGTAAACAAATCAGGAGATAGGCAGCAGCATCTTCCTAACAACGACTAAAAATAAAAAAAATACTGCGGATACCAATGCAGGCGTAGCAAATATGGCAAATAAGGAATAAAGGGGGGTCCCTACGAGGCAATCTATGGGACAGCCAACCTATGTACAGCATAGAACTTTAGTAGGCTCTAACGGTAACGGTTACGTAAACAAAATGATAAACTTTTTTACGTGGTAGAGCCGTGCTGCAGCTATATTAGCAGTATAGTTGTAGCACGAATGGGTCGGGTCGACCAGGGTAAGATTGGACCACGCTCTCACAGAATATCAGCGTAAAATAGCAGCTCAACGCTGCTATGTTTCGTATTGTGAGTGCCTTTTTACTTTTAACCAGAGACACTTTTTACTGGAAAGGAGGCATTCCATCAAAGTCCTCACGGGTGACAACGCATTTGCATTTTGATTCGAAATCGAGGATAGATGTAGATATCTATGGGCCACAGCAACCACTTACCATCAGGTGGACTGTGTGCTCGTTTGTCACCCTTCACCTATAAAAAATATATCTGGTAGATGCCAGAGAATATCACAAAGTTGCCTCTCACTTCATTCACAGGACGCAATGTTGTGATTAATTATATTAAATCGCCATCTTAAGGCACAATAAAAACCATAGCAGTGTAAAATTTCAAAACAAAAGGAGTAGTAACCTTTGTAAGAATACTTTCAAAAGTATTTTACGACATAATTCATTCCAATTCAAAAAATATGTGTAAATTTAATCATATTGTAATATATAACCTTTTAAGTCCTTTTTCAAAATTCTCGGTTGAACAAATTGCAACATTAAATCCCTTCTGTATAAATATTTCTATAGTGTTGTGATTCCAATAAAATATGACTTAAAGTTACATGGTAATATAACAAAACACCGTCACAAAATATGTTTTCGATTACATATAGGCATAGCTCAGTATCAAAATGTAATTTTTTTTACAAATCCAAAAAATCCTATAAATTACAGTCAGGTCATTATGAAACTTGTATTCACCTCGGCCTGCTTACGCGACTTCTTCTATACGGAGCTCATTAGAATAGCTATCAGCGGTGGTTGACGATTAATAACTCGTACTACTGATACGTCGTCGTTTACATGTCGTTTACCTCCACAACCGGAGCAAACTCGCATGTTTCCTACACGCCAAGGAAAAGCAGTTTATACCTACCAAACCAGCGCCACGCATTGTCATTGTGTTCAAATTCTTCATGTTATTCAAATTGCCGCTTATCCGTGTTCGTACCGGTTCCAACCGTGTCGATAAGGCATCGTACGAACCTAGATTCAAAAATAACTTGATTTCTTTAAAGGAAAATAACCATTTCATATAAAATTTTCCATTGATAAAATCAATTTATAACCTTCTATTTTAGAATTAATTATAGACGCCTGCTTTTAATAAAATCATTAATACAATTTTAAATATATATGACATTCGCTTTTCACAAATTATAAATTTATACTTTAATTATTTAAGGCAGAAGTAGTTCTTCGGTAACAAGTCAATAAGTTGCTTAAATTTTATAATTTTTAGTGTAATAACAAGTATTATAACGTATGTTAACTAGGAATTTCATTCTAGTACAAATACTGACGTAACCAGTGAATAAACATTCGCACACCTGTACAGATTTCATAAGTCAATTCACAGACGTCCTATTTGACCCGACCGACTTTAAATTGGAATTGTCGCGTGAAGATCATTAAGGTCAGACTGTAACAGTAAATATTTGTTTCAGATGACGACGAGGAATTACCGCTCAATCTTTCGATGAAAAATCGCCACATTTGGTCGCCTGGGAGCGCTTGTGAACGCGAGAAAAGTGATACGGGGGCAGAGTCACCACAACTACGGTGGGATATTAGGGAAGAAGATGATACTCCTTTGGAATTAGTAAAGAGATGTCGAAGTAGTCCAGAGGAAACCGATCGCCCAACAAGCGCTGACCGCCGCTGTCCATCAGCTCCCGCATATCAAAACTTCCCGCCACCGCCTCCACAAACCGGAGACATAAATTTTACCGTACTCCTCAAGAATGAAAACAGAAATGAGAAGTCCTTTCAGGTAACGTGTATATGAAATTCCTATTTATATTAAAAAAAAAAAACTTGTTGACTCAAATCAGTCAATAAATAGCAACATTGTTTGACAAGATCGGGATAACTGTACAATTTCCGTTCGAAATGGTTTTAAATAGCAAACCAGTATCTGTTTAGTCTTTTTTACAAATCAAATAGCAAAAACTGCCCTTGTCTTAATAAGTACTCTGGTATCGAAACAAGTCGCGCGTCCCTGCATGCGACGCACTGGCTGCTCGTCTTCTCGCCATCTTTATACTTTCCTTTTTTTACCTGCCGTCATTATAAAAATCCGCATCGTTTTTAATCAAAATTCCAACTTTCAATATCACGACGAGGTGGTTCATAATTGGAGGAATAATAACGTTGTGTCATACGATGATAAGAGACCTTAAATAGTTTGGTTCAAGAGACGTTACAGAGATGTTAAATAGTTTGGTCCAAGTTACCACTAAATGTATTTTAAAATTTACCCGTGAATATTGTTAATAACCGTGCGTGTATACAACATGTAACAAAAACCCTGTGGTTCCCGTTAACTGCGTTATCAGAATCGGTATCCAAGCATATAGAAACAATTTTTTCTAAAAAACATATTAAAAAAATCAATTTTAATGAAAAAAAATATTATTTTGCAAATTGTATGTGGTTTTATTATCTCTGCATTGGCCGAGGAGTAAGAGGATTGTCAAAGACCCCGGATTACCGATACTCGTGTGAGTTAGAGGAAATAAAACCACATACAATTTGCAAATTAATTTTTTTTTCATTAAAATAAAATGTTTTTTGAAAAAAAAAAAAAAAAAAAAACTTTAACAAATACCCCCTCTCTATGAGGCGATCTACGGCGGAGGCCTATGTTCAGCAGTGGACTTTTGATAGTCTGTAACGGTAACGGTACATATATTGTTATAATTAAAACTTTTTAATTCTCTGTTCATAATTTTACATTGAATAGAACAGGTGTTATACATTCATTTTAAATAACACGTCCACATTTCATTTAAAAAACTAGGAGGAAAATATTGAGCTGTACCAATAAGAGACTGAAGATTAAAGATACTTTATTATGAGCTTTTTCAGCTGTATGTCAACGTGGAGAAATGCTGCAATTTTATAGAGTAGTGCGAAAGGGTTCCGCGCGGGAGCACCCCCCCCTCACACACAAATATATTGTGTTGCTGTGAGGGGAGAGGGAGAGAACTAAGGAACCCGGAAATTAATTTAATTTTTTTTTTATTTTTTTTTTTACTATATTAACTTTAAATTTAATCCCTCCCCGAAAACCATAAGAACACAATAACAAATCATTTTCACTTTGTATTCACGCATCAGCACTTTAATCTTCACACCTTTTTCGATCTTTTATTTAGTTCTCCGTAACTCTGCAATTTCTGGCTTCATGCGCGCTGTTGCGCTACCTTTTTTCCTATATCAATAATATCTCACTTTTCACTTAAATCTTGCCGTTTCTCTATTATGAGCCTGAAATCAAAATTTGATATGTTTTGACATCATTGTTTATCTGGTTGTCATGACAATTTTTATTCAAATTCGTTACCGGTCTGATGTTTTTACTTCAAAACTTCCACAAAAATACTCTTTTCTTCTTGGCCATTTACAAAAATTTGCTTTTAATTTAAATAATTTCCCGTTCTTTTCACAAATCCGTCAAAAAATATCCAGTTTTGAGGTCAATTCAGAAAATCAAAAACAGAATGGAAAAATAAATTTAAAATAGTGTAAAATTTTATGTAAGTAGCATAACACTACAACGGGCGACAACGCATCTGCATTTTGATTTGTAATCGCGGATAGATGTAGATGTCTATGGGTCAGAGCAACCACTTACCATCAGGTGGACTGTGTGCTCGTTTGTCACCCTATCCTATAAAAAAATTGATCGAGGGTACAAAAGCGCATCGGCTAAGCATTAAACTGTGAAGCTGAAAACCACGGATTAATTCTGCATGGAGCAAATGTTTGTGTGGCCTTTAAGTTATTTTAACGGGTTTGTTGATGCCTATTTATGGATGTAATATGCCTTTGCAGTACAGAAGAAATCCCTAATGCGTGAGAATTTTTTCAAGTTTGTTACTTTATTGATGCTCGTGAAACTCGTGATCATCATCATAATAATTACGGTCATGTTCACAGTTAAACATAAACCTCCTCCAATACCACACAGATCTACTTTCTAACCTTCAGGTTCATTCCATTTAGTGTGTATCCAACAACTCAATTATCGGCACAAGGCTGCCACTCGAAACCTTTCTTCGCCATCAGATGACAGTCCTTCGAGCTATATGGATGATCTACTACCACTTCAGCTTACTGATACGCTGGGCTATTTCGGTTACTCTGGTTCAATTGCGGATAGACAGGAATTTATCACGCCGAGATTTTTTTTTAAATACCAGCAATGCTAAAAACATTACCAATATTCCCTTTAATCACTTCTGGTAAGCTTAAACTGCGTGAAACAGGAGTGGTTCACAACAGTAGTCGAATGGCGGATTCGAACCCACGACCTTTTTAGTTCACGATCCTAGCCCTGCCATTAGGTTACTGTAGCTCCAATTTTGATGCTAATATTATGAAATAGAAGCTCTTATATCTATACTTGGTGGTTTAATTGAGAATGAATAAAGAATGGAAATGTAATTGTTACATAATATACGTTAGAAAGCTCCGAGTGTTCTGTCCGGTGCCCGTGCAGTGGCGGGTAGTGACGCGTGCGTGCCACGCGCCTGCCCGTTGCCGACGCTTACAACCTTAATTGCCCGTGCCGGACACCACACTTTACGTAATTTATATTTGATAACTTGATAACTCATGTTACGAAATGCCTTAGTTTCTATTCAATTATTTATGTGAAATTTAATACTCAAAAAGTTTTTTTTATCGCCGCGTCGCAATACATCATAAGGTTACTTCCTAAAAAAATAAAATTTGACGTCTTTGTATGACATGTATGTTATACTTCTTTTAGTACTTTATAATATAAAACTTTTTTATACTAAACTGAAGGGACTGAATTAAGTTGCAGTCCACCTGATGGTAAGTGGTCACTGCAGTCCACACACAGTCAGATAAGCTAGTCACCTCTGAAGACTATAGCATATACCCTTTGGACAAACACATACATCACGAACACAGCAGTGCGAGCACTGTCATTTGGCGGCAAAAAGGTAATTCTTTTTTAATCATATTAGTAAGTTTCGAGTCAATCGCTCCGTAGCACACAGTCTCATAAACACTGAAACATCCTGTTTCACCTTTTTAGCGGTTGAATTTTCCAAAAATGTTTCTTAATGGATGTTTGCATTATAATAGGAAGATACTCTCCAATTTCAGATATCTAAGTCTAGCAGTTTAGGATTTGTGTTTGATACAAGTGTCAATCAATTATGATAGACATCTTTTTTAAGTACACAATCAGCGTTTTCGCTTACTTAAAATTCCTTACTTACAAAGTAATTAACGCATAGAAAATTTAAAATTATTTTCATTTATTCAATTATATATATAAATCTGTACCTTTCTTTTCAGATCACTTTAACTATTGGAGGAATTTCTCTTTTCGACTGTATGTCTACTTTTTCATGTATATTACGCGATATCTGCGATACGATCCAATTTATTTTTCATAGCCTATACCTTAAGGATGGTCCCATTTAAATTTCAAAAGAAGAAGGTGGAAGAATTGGCTTAAAGTCTTTGTAACTCTATTAAGACAATATTCTACTTGATTCTCATGTATTCTAACCTCGAGCTTGTGATATTGCTTAGTTCACTCAAAAGGGTCAAATATTTAAATATTAAAAACAAGATAGAGACGCTCCACAGTTATATTATGGTTGGAGCATGAATAGGTCGGCTCAACCGGGAAAGGACCACACTCTCATAGAATACCAGCACAAAATAGCAGTTTAACGCTGCTGTGTTTCGTACATTGAGTATAGAAAACCGGAGACCCTGTGACTGTGGAGACTGGTGACAACGCATCTGTATTTTGGTTCATAATTGAGGATCAATGTAGATGTCTGTGGGTCACAGTATCCACTTACCATCAGATGGAATGTGTGCTCGTTTGTCACGCTTATTCAATAAAAAGAGTAAATACCAACTTTCTATACATACAGAAGCTGAAATTGAGAACTTGAATTCTTCAGCATACTTAGCACCGACTTCAGAAGCTATTAAATTAAGCTGAAGTAATTTTATTCTTTCAAGCTTTCGAAGTCGGTTTTCACATTTTAAGTTTAATTATTTAATTCAACAGACTCTCATAAAAAATCTCCGTCAATGCCCGGTGTAGCCGATAACCATATGTGGATGGTCATGCCCTAGCACCTGTGTTGTTTATAAGAAAGTCCAACGACGCTATAAAAAGACCAAAAAACGATCAGTTTTTATATGGCGCGAGGCAGCTGCCCCGCCAACTGTCACAACGAGCCGCCACGCGGATTTGTGCCGCGGATTACCATTCGCCGCATATTTAACTACTCACCACACGACTAGTGGCCTTACGACTTTCTTCTTAGCTGTGGTCACTTAGATTTTTTTTATAGAATGACAGTGACAAACGAGCACACAGTCTACCTGATGATGAGTGGATGCTGTGGCCAATACTCATCTATAGAAGTAAAAAAAAGTAAAGTTACAGCCTATATACGTCCCACTGCTGGGCACAGGCCTCCCGTCATTTCAGAGAGGGTTTTAGGGCAAGGAAGTGTCCGCCACGCTGCCCCAATGCGTGTTGGCGAACTTGACATGTCTTCGAATTTTTTTTTCATATTCCTCAGACGTGCAGGTTTCCTCACGATGTTTTCCTTTACCGCCGAGCACGTGATAAATCAGCACTTAAAATTCCAATTAACAATTTCATTGGTGCCAGCGGGGATCGAACCCGGGTTACTCGTGTCCTGTTCTATTTACAGCGAGCGTTAACCATCTGAGCTAACACGGCTCTTATCTGTATTTATCCTCAATTAAGATTCAAAATGCAGAAGAGTTTTCATCCCTGATGCCTAAGATTTTTTTATAGATTATGAGTGACAAACGAGCACACAGTCCATCAAATGATAAGTAGATGCTGTGGCCCATAAACATCTACATCTATCCTCGATTAAGAATCAAAATGCAGATGCCTTGCCACTACTGACGACTAAGATAGAATACCTCGATTCCAGTAAAAAGAGTCTCCGGTTCTCTACACTCACCATTCGAAACACAGTAGCTATTTCACGCTGGTATTCCGTGTGAGCGTGGTCTTTCCCCGGTCGAGCCGACCCATTCGTGCTACAACCATACAAATATAGTTTCAGTATGACTCTATCACGTAAAAAGTCTCTGTTCCAGTAAAAAAGATCATATAAGATTTTTTTTATATTCTTGTTTTAATAAGAAATTATTAAACTTATACAAATCTACTGTGTAGTGGCGGTGTAAGAATACCCTCTACCCCTCATCATCCCGTGGGTGCCGTAAGAGGTGATAGAGGGAAACTAAAAGAAGATATGAGCAGCAGCATCTTTCTTAGATCAGCTAATTTAAAAAAAAAACTTCGGTTTCCAACGTCTCTACCAGATGTTTCAACTACGATAAATATGACGGATATTGGGCTATGATGCAATCTATGATGGAGGCCTATATTGAGTAGTGGAGTTTGACAGGCCGTTATAATATAAATGAATCATGAATTATAAAAATTATACAAACATTATACACGCTATATTACTTTGATAGGAATTCTAAAACTGGGCTAACGAAAAAAAATATCTCGGGTGATCGGAAAGAGAGGAATAATCATAAATAACTAAGATCACAGTTATATCCATTGCAAATAAAAAGGAAATTAAAAAAATTAAAGCAAGTCCATGCAAATAGCCCCACGAGTCATCAAAGTCAGGAAGTTATTTCCTTGCTAAATATAATACGTTAAATATTATAAAAGACTTGCACTTTAAAGGAATGCATTCATCCACCCTGAATTCTTCATTGTGAATCTTCCTTCTACTAGTCACTCCTAGACAATTTAGTATATTCTTAAACAAAACTGTTAAAACACAGGCGTCTGTTATTTCAAGTACCTAAAACATCTGAGTAAATAAATCTAAAACTGGAAACTTTTGTCTAATAAGAGAGCGTACTTGTGAACGGAATATTAAATTAAAAAAATTGAGTGTGTTTACCAACTTGAGATTTATACCTCGAGCATACCGTGTATTTAAACATTTCAAACAACAATAATACTTACGGAGTAGCACTTGGATATATTATGTCATTTAAAAAAATCAACAAATAATAAGTGTTGTAGAAGTTTTTTAAAGAAAAAAATCATATACTTATAACGAATTTAGAAAAATGTCTTATATTAACTTGGAGTTGTACAAGCACGATTTACAAAAAAGACCGCCCGTTAATGTAGTTTCTGTTTTAATCAAAACTGACGACTCCCTTGAGCAATCATTACTGATTCGTATTCAGAGACTTAAAGTCCAAACTTTACAATTTCTGTAACATAATATCCATAATATAATAAGAAACAATATGATTTACTCTTAGAGTAATTACATACATATTAAAGGATTTACTTTAGATGTAAACTTTGACATTTATAATTTCGAAATTTAAAATTAAAAAGTTCAACCCGAAGTCGTCTCTGAATACTGCGACTTTAATTACAGAATTAATTACAGAAATTGTTTAAATTTTCTTTCTAATCTCAACACGCTACAGGCGCCGACCATTATTTCTATACAACATGTAACAAAAACCCTGTGGTTCCCGTTAAGTGCGTTATCAGAATCGGTATCCAAGCGTATAGAAATAATGTTTTTCAAAAAAACACATTTAAAAAAATTAATTTTAATGAAAAAAAATTAATTTGCAAATTATATGTGCTTTTATTATCTTTGCATTGGCCGAAGAGTAAGAGGATTGTCAAAGACCCATCATTACCGATACTCGTGTGAATTAGAGGAAATAAAACCACATATATAATTTGCAAATTAATTTTTTTAAATGAGTTTTTTTGAAAAAAAAAATATTTCTATACGCTTGGATACTAATTCTGATAACGCAGTTCACGGGAACCACAGGGTTTTTGTTACATGTTGTATAACGCAAAACTTTGGTTAAAGGCATAAGCGATAAAGCCTTTCAATTACGCAGAAATATAAACAACACAATAGTCTGCATAAATAATATAGTTACTCATATTAAATATTCACAGGATGTAATAAAAAAATATTTTATATCAACAATACTCTAACACGTATAGAAAGTTACAAACACGTACGTTAAAATAAAATAACACACGTTTGTAATTGAATACGGTCAAATAATGATCCGTTGATATACTAATTAGTAGGCAACGAAAAAATTATGGAAAATCAAAGGAACGTGTGGAAAAGGGTTTGAGCAAGCCTGTTATTACCATTATATTACTAGCTACCAGTGAAGGTGATGGACGTTGACAATTCCTTTATTGGCGTCTAATTACGAGTACACCTACTTTATGAAATTAAGTTAAAAAAAGCAAATTAACCTTGTATGATGGAAAAATATTTCTAATAAAGTTGATGTTAATACAATAAACGAAAATAAAACAAAGTAAAATAAAAAAAAACACTGAAATAAAAAACAATTAGTGGCGACGTGAGAATATCCACTACCTCATACCTTCCTGTCGCTGTGAGGCGGCAGAGTGAAACAGGAAGCAAGTAGAAACATTCTGATAAAAAAACTTAATAATACAAAAAACAGTGGTTGCCAACTCACCCGCCAAACTTGCCAACTTTGCCAAATATCGCCCTATGCGGCAAGTCTATGTTCAGCAGTGAACTTTTGTAGACTGTAATACATTTAAAAATCAGTCATAGCAAAAAGGATAATCAGCATGTGCCGAGTGGTAGCCTCTTTGTTTGAATTTAACCTACGGCCTTTATTGTATGTTATAAGTACGATATGACGTTTCAAGCGATAGGTGAAGTTTTATAACGGCCAAATTAGTTTAAGAAATTTGTTATAACCACCTTAATGGAATTTTGACAAAACTACTTTGTTTGCTATGGATAATAACGTATATTTCACACCCCAAATTGTGAATATTTAAACAATGATATGACAAATATGTGATGATTATACATATGTGATTGATCATATCCATTTACATTAAAAACTTTCATCTGTCCATAACGTAACTCAAAGCGTAAAAACCATTTATAGTCTTAGTATTGGCACTAATATTTTTGTTTCTGTGTCTGGTGCAGTTGTTAAGTATGAGTAAAAGAAAGTAATCAGAATCATTTTTATACATTATGCAATAAAAATATATAAATTCTACGTTACTACAACACAACAAGCACGACACAGCACAATCGCTTATTTATTAGTTTTTTTTTTTTAATAAGCGTTTGAATATGCAGAACTTTATCAACTAAGTTGAAATATTTAAAATCACAAAGTTGATGTATTGATATTTATCGCTATTTATGTTTCTATGCAGTGTAAGCAATGCGGAAAGTGCTTCAAACGATCCAGTACACTCTCCACCCATTTGCTCATCCACTCGGATACCAGACCTTACCCTTGCCAGTACTGCGGGAAACGGTTTCACCAAAAATCTGACATGAAGAAACACACTTACATTCATACAGGTAAGCATTGCTTAATGGAATACATTATGTTATGACAAAATTATTTTAATTAAAAGGAAGGTTATAGGTTACATATTGATATAGACAGTTACGGTAACAAATAAACCAGAAGTTTACTTCTTGGTAAATGGCTGAATTACAAACAAAGATGTGCTTCGTCACGCCTAAGGTTTAAGATAAAATACTCATGCACTGTAATTATACTAGCTCTTCATACCACCCGATCCAGCATACCAGTGAATGCACTGCTTCTTGGAGGTAAAACCAGGAAGGAGGTTTAAACCACAAATATCACACAGTTTTAAAGCTGGCCTTGTACTTCCAATGGCTTATGAAACTCCTTAATAAGTGCCCTAAGTAAATTTTACCCTGAACTCATTAAAAATAATATTAAATTTGGTACATATTTATTCATGTTACTTACACCTTGCCTCATATAGGACATGATTTATTCGGTGCATAGAGAAACACGGGTCACCGTCGCGGCGGAATGGTGTGGCCTTTGTTTCTATATGATTCGGTGCGATGTTATTTTTTATATATAATAAAATAATTTATAAAAATTAGTATTCTAAAAGTACAAATTTCATTTATATTTTTTATTACAATTTTTATACTTCGCTATCATAGAGCGACACGGGCCACCGGCGAATCGGAGCCTCTATGTACGTGTGCTGCTCTATGTACGCTGTTTACGAAGGTGGACTGATCTCACGGGATAGTAACATCAAACATTATAATTTAATTTTAAAAAGAAATCTTGTATTAATCGAATTGAAATTGTCGATGAATACAGGTTTATTTTATTTATCAAAAAATAAATAAAATAAACTTGTATTCATCCAAAATAGATTTTACTAGAAATTTTTTTTGTATCCCAGAGACATTTTAAATACTTACATACAAATTGTGTTCCGTGTGGGATCAATTCCATAGGCAAATACTACCACCGCGTTATCCAGCCATCATGAGTTATAAAACTTATCTAAGAATATCAAATATTTGGTAGATACTAGAAACTTAGCCTAAAACTCATAAGTACAATTTGGTAATATAATAAAAAATTAATAAATATTATTTTCTGTATATATTTCGATCCCTACAAAATTATCATTTGAAGGATTTACTAGCTTTCAAGAAAGTTTCGACTGAAAATAATAGGTTCAGCATAAAGTTACGTGATACATATATAGGTACAGGTCATAATTGGAGTTTAACACTTGTGGCGGTAGATTTGTAAATAATTTGTTTGAAACTTGTTACGCTACTTTCTTATGGACGTATTTTATTGATCAAAATATGTTGATTATTAAATTAAAATAGTTTTATTACTACATTTCAAATCATACCTTTGCCTATTTTCTGTGTGGACTTTTAATGGGCTGTAATGATGACGATGCGTTTTTGTTTGCTGTTGTCGAAATCTAGTGTAAGCTAGCAATTATCGACAGTACACTAAGTTAAATAATAGCTTGCTTAATAAGTCTCACTGCTGGGCACCGTAGTGCGAAAAGTTCCACTGCACTGAATCATGCTGTGCGTTAATGTGTTCTCGTAATATGTTTGATTTCACACATAGAAACATTTCGACCAATGGATTACAGTGTTTTCTTTACCGTTGTAAATCATCATTTGTGCCAGCCGTCTGAACTCTTGGACACTGGTTGATCACGTAGTATAAAAATTAAGGCCAGCACCCAACCCCTGAATTTTTTACTCTTTTCTCTACGAGTTTACAGATTACAAACTATGATATAAATGTGTTTAAGCTAACAAAAGAAATTGTATTTTACTGTATATGTGGTGTGTTACTTTTATAATGTTAATTTAATACTACCGACATTAAACTTTTTAAGCCATTGTGATTGTGATTATTCGAAAGTTTTAGCATAGCTTAAACTAGGTACTAAATTTAAGAATCGATAACAATGTTAAGAATTGCCCTAATGCATTTTCGCTAGTTTTCGGTATTTTTTTTATAGGACAGTGTGACAAACGAGCACACAGTTCATCTGATGGTAAGTGCTTGTTATGGCAGATAGACATCTACGTCTATCCTCGATTACGAATCAAAATGCAGATGCGTTGTCACCCGTGAGGACTTAGATGGAATGCCTCGTTTCCAGTAAAAAGGGTCTCCGGTTCTCTACACTCACCATACAAAACACAGCAGCATTAAGCTACTATTTTACGCTGGTATTCTGTGAGAGCATGGTCTTTCCCCGGTCGAGCCGACCCATTCGTGCTACAACTATACTACTAATATAGTTGCAGCGTGGCTCTACCACGTACAAAATTGTTAATAAATTATCATTTTTGTTCTACGAATAACTTAATGTTTAATTATGTTAAGGACCGCACTAGGCGGAACTGCACCGCAACGGAACTGAGCGACACGAGTTGGTCAGTTTATCAACTTTGCCGTACAGTTCTGCTACAGTTAGTTCCGTTGCCGCTTAGTGCATGTTGTCTCATATAATTTCATAATATATATATATATATATATATATATATATATATATATATATATATATATATATATATATAAAGATTATTTTGACGCGTCGCGGCGTGTCGCTCAGTTCTGCTGCGGTGCAGTTCCGCCTAGTGCGATCCTACCTTAAAAGTGTATTGTTTTAGTTTTAAAATAAAATTTATTTGCATTTTAGCAGAACAGTTTAAAAACAATGCCACTGTATTACTGCTATAGTCTAACTACTCTTCTTAGGCAATAATTTCAAAAGGAAGGATAGGCCCATCTAAATATTTTATACATAACTTTTTCATACAAGAAAAAGTAGCGCATCTGTCGTAATACAAACGTCATCGTTACACGACGTAACCAGGGTCGGATTTCGTAGTATAATTATCCTAACTGTACCATTATTTCATAGTTTGTAGTATATAGTACCGTAATAATACTAAAGATCGACTTGTATTATTATTGGGTCCTTTTACTTTTTAATATTAACCCTACGATATCGGGAATTTCTGTATTGTACATGAGTACCGCGTTTTTTAAATAAAATTAGAATTAGCTCCCTTTCTGGTCAATCGGTGCTCGATTGATGCATTTATGTTGCACCCTTGATACGACTATAATGAGGGGCTACCACGATAAAAACTCTATGCTCCAGAAGCAATCGGTTTGAAAACAGAATTTCAAAATATTTTATGAATCAGATTTTCAGATTCAATTAAGCAGATATGGTTTCTTTTATACTCTTTTCGTTTTACCCTTATTGAATATAAAATATATTAGGTACCAATATTCAAAGTTAAACTTATTCTAAGTTTTTAGACAAAAATAAAACAGAACTAATAAAAAAGAAATAAAAATAAAACCGTCAAAAACGAAACGTATATAAAAACTAGACGCGTGACACCAAAATCCCGCCACATGGCAAAAAAAAAACATGAAACGTCAAACATGATATAATTTTTTTTAAAATAGTATAATTGTATTTTTCATGTACAATATTTTTGAGGGTCTGAATCCAACCCTGGCCTAATATTGGTAACGTAACTAAACTAACCGTAAAATAAAACTATAAAAATGCGTTCATATAATAATTTAATTGTAACAAAATTAATACAGGGTTACTAACCGATGATATGATATGCTATGTTCCTTTTTAATCTTCGTATCGTAATTTTTGCATTCTTTACCTCGCAGCTTGACATATTTATGACAGACGAATCTGTCCTGCGCGCGCACTACTGTCGACGGATTCGCGTCGCCAGCGCACTGATCCGTTTTAGTTGTTCGGTCGGCCCGGTCCTTACGCTAGTAATATATAAGTCAAAGTTCTTAGGCTGTACTACTGCAGAGTACCTACAAACACTATATATAGCACCACAGCCTAAGAAAAATAGTAGTTAGACTGTGATAGCACTGTATTATTACGTTTTTACAATAGTTTTAATTTAATTATGCGTACTAGACAGAACTTACAATAAACCTTCCAGATCTATTTTATGTAACTGATGTAAATAAAAAAGGGTGGCAAAGCAAATACTGCAACGACTCACAGATTAAACATTTAAATAGTGTGCAATTACCTTTTCGGCGACACATTGCCGACGATTCGCGCAGTAATGAATTTTCAATGAGCGAAAACGTGAATGGCCGGGAGCCTGCCGGACCGCGGTCGTTCTTACTCGTATCATCTTGTCTGAGGTCGCGATTAATATAACCTATGCCTGCTGATTTCCTTCAAGCCTTTTTTAAATAATATATTTGTTATAATAAAATAATCCCCATTTATTCGGCGGTCTAATTATTATTTATAAAAATGTGGATAATACAGCATCCGTATCCAGTAGCTGAGACTTTAGTTATGGCGTTACGGGTCTGAGGGTTTGAATGTCGTACGGATTAATTGTCTGTATATCCTTCAAATAATTGATTCGGGTCTGGAAACGTCCCACGATACAGGGATAAACCACCGCAATAGTAACTAGTCCCAGTAGTGTGGTAGTTCGTGAGGGTGAGGGTAATATGGTCATCCGGATAATATGGTCACTTTCTTATAACTCAAAAACTACAGCCTTGATTGCATAGATGACTTTGTGATACGATAGCTCTTCATTAGTCAATCAAATAATAAAGGTTAAAAGGCGCTGCTTTATCGACGCCATTTTGACAGTTGACATTAAAGTAATTATTTTAGTCGATTTTAGTATGGTGTAGTGTGGTTATATTTTTAAGTAGATTTTTCGAAGTGCAAAAAAGTTCTACCTAGAAATAAAAGTTATAATGCCAAGTTCGTTCAGTAACACTAATAAGATAATAATTATTTAAAAACAATGTTTTGTAAATTAATTCTATGTGATAAAGCAAAAAAATGTCGTCCGTAAAATTAGTTATCGCGACAATTTAGTATACAAATTACAAAATACGAAGAGACCATACAAGTTCTTGCACCGTTCTTTACTGCATGACTGTATTATGTGCTGTTTAACGAGACGAATTGAGCGCTAAAAAAACTATGGCGAACATATTGGTCGTTGTCTGCGACATCTCGTCACATCTCTGCTTCGTTTCGAATGATTTACTATGGCCATACATGGCTCTTGTCCTCCGATAAATGCCTCATCATCAATATTCCAAAATGCGGTTCGGCTCGCAATTAGCCGAGTAGCCTTCACAGATCTTCACATGGCGCGACGATCACTGCACAAACAAAAAGTGCAGTTAAATCCTGTTCTATCTATAAAAATGCACAGAGGCTTTTATTAACGCTGTTTATCGATATCTCGCATCGCAAGGGATTTCTTTTTCAAGGTCAAACATTTTGTAATAAATAACATCATGGATTGTAAATAATTCTCATGCTTTATGTATTTACGTTAACTCTCTATAAATATGACGTATCATCAAAATTTTATTAAACGGAAAGAATTAAACATAACTTTAGCTAACAAGTGGCGTGTGTTACCTGAATGTAAATAAATTAATATGTATTTGTTGCAGGAGAGAAGCCACACAAGTGTGTCGTATGCTTGAAAGCATTCAGCCAGAGCTCGAATCTCATCACGCACATGCGCAAACACACAGGTTACAAGCCGTTTTCGTGTGGGTTGTGCGACAAGGCGTTCCAGCGCAAAGTGGATTTACGCCGCCATCGAGATTCCCAGCACGCGGAGTCCGTAGCCGAAGTACCCATCACAGCGCTACCATCGCGCTACAGATACTATGAGAACGACTCTCCCACTCCATTAACCCCAGTCGTTACAAATTGATTTTTTTAATGCAGTAACTGGAACAAGATTAAAGAAATTCTGACGTTTTGTTGTTTTGACGAGTTTGGCGACGCTAGCAACATCTAAGTACTTGTAAGATGTCCCTTAAATAGAGCAGATCTATTATTAAATCAAAGACATAATGAGTTATTGCACTCTAAAGTTATGCAATACCATAAACTTTATATATATATATATATATATATATATATATATATATATATATATATGTATATACAAATACATATAAAGTACGTATTTAAAAACCAATGAAAATGTTCTATTGGTCTAAAATTAACCAAAGAATCGAAAAATAAGAGCTGGTTAAAAGTTACTACATTTAGACATTTGCTATTTCGATATTCATATTATGTAAGTATATTCAAAACTTTTGAATGATTAGATTTGTTGAAATTCATTTTTTTTGTTTATTACTAAAACAGTGCCTTGTGAGTTGCCTCAAAAACGTCGAAGATAAAGTTTTTAGCATTTAATTATATTACGTCCAATATAGAACAAATCCGTCCTAGGCTATGTGATATAAGTACATTCCACACTTAACCTGTCATACTATCAAATCATTATCAAGATAGAAAAAACTTAACCTTGTTAAAAATAAGTTAAAAATGTAAATACTTAAAAATAAATTATTCACACAACGTTGAAATGTGGCTATTTTGTGCTATAATGTGGCTAGCGTTTTCACAAGAGTGTTAATATTTTCGAGTTATTCGTCATCTCGCCCGACGAAAACTCGCCATTTCTCGCCAAACTCGCAATTTTTATTTAATATAAAGTCGTTTTATTTGAAGTCGTTTTTAAAATTTTGTAATTTTTTTCTTGGCTGTACTTTGTACGAGCGTGCGAGTTGACGACAGAAATATTAGGTAAATTTGAAAGGTGCCAAGTCGCCCGATCGGGCGAGTTTTTGTCGGGCGAGATGACGAATAACCCATATTTTCATCCCCTGTACAAAATACTAGGTAACTACATTAGAGTTTATATACGATCAATTTTTAAAGTTATAAATGTACATAATGATAAATAACGAAGGAAGTCTTAATTCCCATTCATACAATATCAAATTAATTACTGACTTAACATTTTTACCCCTGTACAATATACTAGTTTAACTACATTATGAAACGGTTATGAAAAATATATACACGGCCAAACTCCGTTAACTATTACATTAAAACAAAAGGTTTAAATGGAAAATAAATTATTAATCTTTAACAAAATTAAAGTAATTTCTATTTGTGTTTAAATGTAGGTATTCTATATCTCGTCATTAAACGATTTTGATGTATAAGTTAAAAACTTTTACAATTATAATTCCCTAGATTTTAAAACATTATAAAACGATGTACTTAACGACAAAGTAACTAAATACAATATTTAAGAGGGATTTCATACCAGATATTTAACATTAAAATATAATTTGTTCCTGTAGTGTAATATATATTCATACATGTGTTTTGATTAAACTATTTCTTGAAAAAGGAAAAGCATCAATGTCGGAAAAACAGAAGTTTCATTATTTTTATTATGAGAACACTTTCGTTATCCATTAAGTAAATTTAGCCGTTAACCGTAATGTGTAATTGGATAAGTAAAATAGTCTAATACAAACCAAAGTAAAGTGTGTTTTAGTCGAATGTGAAACGCTTTATTTATTAAATCTAGTTAAAGCAACAATCGTTATTTTATAAGAAAATATCAACGAGTCATATCTGTATAAATATTTTAAGTGTCTTAGTTTTAATTTTTAATTTCGTTAAGTAATTTCGTTAAGAACAACATGCATTGATTACTTGTAGATTATGTATTTATAAAACACATTCTTGTAATTTTTCAATTATGTGATTTCGGAGCTACCGACATTCTGGTTACCATTGCTAAAATTGGTTACCACGAGCCTAATTAGCGGAACACTATTATTTGCTAGTTATTAAAAATGATTTTGCTATTATACTACTTTATGCATTTCATTTTATTGCAACTGATAAGATATTTTATACTTGTATTAACTACTACGAATTTAGCGTCTTCAGATTTATAAGAACATTTAAATGTTATAGTAGATTTGCTGAAAAGCGACACAGTCTCCGCGTTATTAGTATTAAAATAAAAAATTAAAGCCTCTATAATGAACGTGGTCGCGTTTTGAAGTATATAAAACTAAGGTTTTGCGGTCTTGAAGAGAGTTGAAGAATACAATTTTGTAATTTTTGCACTTCAAGCATACATGTAGATATAGCATCCACGTCAGACATCAGTGACGTACTCGTACACAGCAAATAATTACACTCTACTCGTATATTATGTACCCATACATTTCCATAGGTCATAAATCATATAATACTGATTGAGCTAATTATACTATCTATGGAGTTTTTTTTTTTTTTTTTTTTTTTTTTTATAGAAGAGGGGGCAAACGAGCATGTGGCTCACCTGATGTTAAGTGACTACCGCCGCCCATGATCAACTGCAACACCAGGGGAATTGCAGACGCGTTGCCGGCCTTTTAGAAAGGAGTAAGCTCTTTTCTTGAAGGTCCCCAGGTCGTATCGGTCCGGAAAAATCGCTGGTGGTAAATTATTCCACAGAGAGGTTGTACGCGGAAGAAAACTCCTTTTGAAACGTACAGTGGTGGACCGCCAAGCATCCAGATGGTGTGGATGGTATCGGGACGTTTGCCGCGTAGTGCGTTCACGAAATTTGGCGGCTGGGATTAATCCGAACAATTCCTCAGAGCACTCTCCATGGTATATGCGAAAGAAAATGCAAAGGGATGCAACATCTCTTCGCAGTGCCAGAGAATCGAGCCGATCGGAAAGCACTCGGTCGTCGACGATTCGAGCCGCTCTGCGCTGGATGTGGTCAAGTGGAAGGAGCTGGTACTGGGGAGCCCCAGCCCAGAGATGGGAACAGTATTCCATGTGCGGCCGAACCTGCGCCTTGTAAAGTTGCAGGCGGTGTGCCGGCATGAAATACTGTCCCGCTCTGCTGAGCACGCCAAGCTTTTTAGAGGCCAATTTGGCCTTCCCTTCCAAGTGACCACGAAACTGCACGTCACTCGATATGTCGACGCCGAGGATTCCGATACTGGCTGAGGCAACAAGGGGGAGTGCCTTGAAACTGAGGGGATACGACAAAGGGGTTCTTTTTAGCGGTTAACGCGCAAACTTGTGTCTTCTGGGGGTTAAACTGGACTAGATTTAGTCGCCCCCAATCCGAGACTCTGTCCAGCAGAGACTCGACTTCAGACACAAGTTTGTCCCGGCACTCGGAGACGTTTTCCCGAGAAATATTGGCTCGGCCGGTGTAAAGAGCATCACCAGTGCTGTCATCTGCATAGCAATGAATGTTACAGGTCTGCAACATATCATTGATATGCAGAAGAAACAGCGTTGGCGATAGCACGCAGCCCTGTGGAACACCAGCATTAATAGGCTTGCAATCGGAGCTTGCACCGTCTACAACGACCTTGATGCTCCGATCTGCAAGAAAACTGGTGATCCAATCGCACAATTTCTCGGGAAGCCCATAGGAAGGGAGCTTCGAAAGAAGCGCTTTGTGCCAAACCCGATCGAAGGCCTTCGCAATGTCCAAACTAACGGCCAATGCCTCCCCCTTGGACTCTACTGCCTCCGCCCATCTGTGAGTTAGGTAGACCAGAAGATCACCAGCTGACCTACCACGGCGAAAACCGTATTGGCGGTCACTAATCAGCTGGTGATCCTCAAGGTACCTCATGAGCTGGCAGTTTACAATGGACTCCATTGTTTTGGAGAACAAGGAGGTGATGGCGATAGGCCGGTAGTTGGACGGGTCTGAGCGGTCGCCTTTTTTAGGGATCGGGTGGACGAAAGCCGTCTTCCATGATTTTGGGACTACGCCTAGGGAGTAGGAGTACCGGAAAAAACGCGTTAAAACCGGTGCCAACTCTGGAGCACACGTCCTCAGCACAATTGGGGGGATTCCGTCAGGCCCACTCGACTTGTGGATGTCCAGGGAGAGGAGTGCTTTGCGAACCGAGCGCTGAGTGAACTGCACTTCCGGCATGGAGCACTCACACCGCGGGATGGTCGGCGGCGTACTCCCCCCGTCATCGAGAGTCGAGTTAGACGCAAAGAAAGAGCCTAGAAGATCGGCTTTCTCCTTTGCGGTGTGGGCCAGTGAGTCGTCCTCCCTGTGCAGAGATGGAAGAGATGGCTGACAGAAATTCCCCTGGACAGCCTTGGCGAGAGACCAGAATGTACGGGTTCCAGAAGGAAGACGAACTAGTTTCTCGCCAATTCTGCCTATGTGCTCTGACTTTGCCTTGGCAATGACTCTTTTGAAGGACCTAGAGGCGGAATTATACTTCTTTTTTAGAGCGCTGGTGTTTACATCCCTGGACGCTGATGCGTCAGCCCAGGCCTGGTAGCACTCCTGCTTATAGCATGATGCTATTTTACAGGAGCGACCAAACCATGGCTGAGATTTGCCTCCAATGGGCACCACAGAGGAAGGAATAAAAAGTTCCATACCCTGAAGTACCACATCAGCGACAGAATCCGCAACAACGTTGGGATCGTCCGGCGAGAAGCAAACCCGCCCCCAAGGGTAGGATGCAAAGAAAGACCGCATCCCATCCCAATCGGCTGACCTATAGTGCCAAACACGGCGGCAGCCTGCAGAATGCAACCGCGATTTCAGCGTGAGTGGCACCACACTCCGGACAAGACAATGGTCCGAGGAGCCTAAAGGGGCGTCGACGGAAATCTGATATCCGTCCGGGTGAGAGGTCAGCAGAAGGTCCAACAGGGAAGGTGCATGATCCTCCACATCTGGAATCCGCGTAGGCGAAGTAACCAGTTGTGTCAGACCATATGACAAGGCAAAATCATGAACAGATCTCCCCGCATGATCGGTTAAACGTGAACCGAGCCATTCGGCGTGATGGGCGTTAAAGTCGCCGAGGATCACGATCTCTGCGGAGGGGATCTGCTGTA